GATAATAAGTGACCGGTTGTCAAAATTTGTGTGATTTTTAATAATTTTCGAAGTTATTAGAATTTATTTAAAGTTCTTTTATTATATTCTATATGAGTTTGAATATATAAGATAAAATAAAGTATACTATTAAAATTTAAGGTAAACGTAAAACATATTTAGATCCATACATTCAAAAGCAGGCGTCATCTCATTATATACATATAGTGATTTTTGTATTATTTCAGGTAACCCTCATATAACACAAATATTCGTACCGTGTTAATCGAAACATTTATAAGTAAAACCATGTTAAATAAAATCTTATGTAACAAGTTACCGAAAGTTTCGTGTTACACGAGCGCGCCCGCAATTTTCAGACTGTGTTGTATCAAAACCGTGTTTTCAAAGTAGGTATCGTGTTATACAGGGATTTCCTGTATATTTATCAATTTGTTATCTTGAATAGCTGATATTATTGATCTTGTTTATGATGCTTAAATGAAATTAGATTAGTGTACACAATGATTTTATCGTTTATCATTCTCATTGAAGTAATAACTTTTTCCAATGTTGATCAAATAAAGAGATAATGCTGATCTTCATATTATCTGTAGCATATTTTACCATTCTTTCTCAAATTGTGTACATATATGTCATGCTTTAATTAACCTAAAAATTGGCAAGATATAGTGAACAAGTATCTAATCTTTTAAATTACAAAAGTTAATTTTACTTAATCTAATTGTTACATTATATATGATATTGTAAGTACTGATTATCGTCTTAATTAAGAACATGTTCAATTGTTTCAAATAAAATCAGTGTGTGAATCGATGAATATTTTTCGTTATTGTAGAAATACTTATAAATAAATACCTAACTCCTAGCATGTTGATATAAATATGCTTTATCGTCAGTTTTAAACTCATATAATAAAGTAAATTGAAATTAGAATAAAAAACTTTATAATGAATATATTATCAAATATCGTAAATATATGTTCATGTTTCTTTTCACATTTTGTTAAAAGAAGTGGGTAAGATGATGTTGCATATTTTTCGTAATGGTAATACAAACATCTGTAAATACGTATGAACATAATACGATAATTCTCGATTCAATCTTAAAATATTAAAAAAGTATGTAGTTAGTATTTAAAGGTTAAACTTGATAGTTTAAAAGATTGTAATTGCATTTCTTTATATAAAAAATTCTTACTGTACAATTTTTATTTGTGAAGCTTGTTATGTTTAATTGAATAAATAATATGAAATAAATTTTGTACCATTAACAGCAAATGAAAAGCTTTTCTTATTAATACTATTCAAGAAGCGGTTAAAAGAAACTTCTGTTTATTATTTTTAGCAAGCCAAAGCGGCAAATTAATGCCGTACTTTTCAAATAAAATGTCAATTTTTTTATTAAAGTTTGAGAATGTTTTAAACTTCTTACACAATTATTACGAAAATGTAACAGTGTCGTTTTTGTTTAATGATTAGCTTTACCAATGTATATAGTCAATTTTTAATAAAACAACTCATATGTAAACACGTAATGAACTATAAGAAATAAATACAATAAACGATCCAAACACCTAATACTCGAAGGAGAATTCAATGAAAGTGACAATGAAGATGTGCCTTTACATTCCGAAGCATTTATGGTATTAGTAAGAAGATTTACGTTAGACAGTTTCAGGTACAAACAGAACGCATAATTCAATGTAGGTGAACGTACTGTTTCGAGCTATATAGAAAGATATCAGTTGTGCTGTTACAGGGGCAAGGGAAAATTGGGTTTAGTCCGCCTATTCCCACTCTTGACGCTCGGGGAAGCCCCGTAACACGGCCCACGCTGACATAGTAGTAGGATTCCAATATCCCCGAGGAATGGGGAAATCTTACTATGATTGTTTCCACTTATGTCTCATGAAATTGAACATATCCTTAATATGTATACACATGAAAAGAAAGACCGTAAACTGACGTAAAGTTAGCAGGTTTTTGATACGTTTTACCGTGTAATTAAAAATAAAAAATCTGTGCCTACGACAATGCTTCGCATTTCGGCGCTCGCTATCGCTCTATCCCACTCACAATCAGTTCCGATGCGTTTTGATCACTTTCTTCGTTACGCGTTGCCTACACGCGTCGACTAAGTGATGTAACCCTTCGATCAATTAGGGAAATGCGTGTCTGTTGTCTTTATGCGTCTGTCCACTAGAGCCAATCAGTGCCGACTGACATCTCTATCTCCCAACAGTACTTAAAAAATATTTGTGGGATACTTCAGAGTTACTCACAATGTGCGGCGTTTATATTACATATGTATCTGTCATGTCTCTATTAATTCAGATAGTGGAGATGCTGCTATACCTTTTCATTTTCAGTCGATTATTTTATAATTAATTAAATGAACTTCGATATATTTTCATGCTTCGAATACCTTGTATTGGTTGCACAAATGAAGAATTCAAGCTTTTGTAAACAGTTAAAGTATTAATTCAAAAATCAGCTGATTCTCCCGCTCGTTTCCTATTATACAGTGTCGACATATAGCTGTTACAAATGATGATCAGTTTGGCATAAAACTAAATATAACCTTAAAACATATTAATTTCAGTAGTGTCAATAATGGCGACAGATAAAGTGCATATTCGACGTTGCATTCTTTACGAATTCCAACAAGGAAAAAGTGTTACAAAAGCATGAGAATCGATTTATTCTCTTCTCGGCGAAGATGTTGCATCGTATGAGGTGTGTGTATTTTGGTTTAAGCGGTTTAACAGTTTATTCGACAAACCACGACCTGGAGCGCGATCTATATTGATTTATAGCAATCAATGGCTCTGATCTAATATTTCGTAAATTTCATTTTTCGATTTTGTTTCAGTAATTTCATTTATATGATTTTATATTATAACAAATTGTAATGTTAAATTAATTTATATTTTAATACATCGTTCGCAAATACATTATTTTAAGCGTATTAAACCATATAGAAATACATACATAGTGGATAAAGTAAATGTCTGTACTTGTCGGATTAAAAATATTGGTATGAATACTGCGCATTAAAAAGTGGTTTTGTTTGTTTTGCTACAAATAACTGATAAGGGATTGCTCGAGGACAAACGTTAACCTGTTGTAGCTTAAGGTTAAACAGCGTAGAATTATCTATTGACTGATAATGAAAATAAATTTCAGAATAGTTTTAAGGCAACATGTTTTTAT